AAAAGTTAATAACTGGGGGGGGGGGGGAATCAAAAATATACATAATTAAAAGTGATAACTGGGGAGGGGGGGGGGAGGAGAAAACCCCATTAGACCACTTGTATGTAACTGATATAGGCTTATAACACCGGATCTTGACTGAAAAGTAATTCAGCATAATATGACAATAACTTAAAAGGTTATTAAGACACAGCATAATAGCACTAGGATAACACAGAAATCGCGAGCTAAGGCGTTGTAGGTTGATAACGGGCTAAAACTGATTGGACTAGGTTAACATAGTGATGTGCGATAAACGTGTTGTAAGTTCAAAAATAATTATTGAGAGTTAATGGTTACCCATTGTAGGCTAATTGACTGATTTGATAACTTCATCATATGCCCTCGGAATAAATAGTCCCAAATCTTTGTTTAATTCTGGAGAAAATCTTTTGATGTTAATGGCTTCTTTTAACTTCCTAATTTTCTTATTGTTTTGGTTAGCAGCCAGAATTTTTACCTTATCCCAGTCTATTTTTTGTCTTGGATGGTCTTTCAAGTGTTCGGCTATGGCTGATATGTTGGTTGGGGCTTTGGACTTGTGTTCTGAAATTCTTTTATCCACTGGTCTTTTGGTTTCCCCGATATAGGTCTTATCACATGAGCAGCTAATTTTGTAGATGGCCCCTTTTGGTTGCACAGGAGTGGTAGGTTGCAGTTTTCCACTGGCGTTTAAGATCTGTTTGAGGGATGTGGGGATCGAGAAGGACGTGTCGATGTTGGATTTCTTTACTAATCGGCTGATCTGGTAAGTGAGATTTCCATGGAATGGTAGGGTGATTCTGATAGGGGAATTTTCTTGTTTCTGTTGGTTGCTTATGCTGTTTTTTAGGGTGGCCTCAATCTGTCTATTAACTATGGTTGGGGGGTAATTATTTAGGTTGCAGAAAACGTTGCGTAAGTATTCTAATTCATGATCAAGATACTCTGGTTCACATATGTTGATAGATCTGCGCACTAAGGTGGATATCAGGGCTGTTTTAATATAGTGGGGATGGCTGGAATTATAATTAATGTACTGGTCTGTGTGAGTTGGTTTACGATAAATCTTAGTTTTCAGTTTGTTGTTTTGTTTGTGGACATGGACATCTAAAAATGGAAGGGTGTCTTCTTCCTCTGTCTCTATGGTGAATTTGATCCTGGGGTGTTGGTTGTTTAGGTGAACAAGCAGGGCCATGGGTTCATCTGGTTCTTTCAAAACAACAAAAGTATCATCTACCTTGCGAAGCCAAACCAAGGGGGTAATGGGGGACGTGCTGAGGGTGCGTTCTTCAAAATGTGTCAAGAAGATTTCGGACATGATCGGTGAGAGGGGGCTTCCCATTGGTAACCCATGTATTTGCTGGTATATGTCATCCCCCCAGGTGAAGTAAGTGGAGTCAAGGCACATGTTTATAAGTTCGATGATGCTGTTAGTTGTTAATTTGGTATCAAGTGGAACTTCTAAATTGTCAATTCGGGAGCGGAGAACTTCTGTAGCTTCATGGCGGGGAACGTTGGTAAACAGATCTGTTACATCATACGAGACCATCCTTCCAGGTTGAGTGACATCTCTAACTTTTTGGCAGAATTGAGTAGAGTCCTTGATAAATGAAGAAGACGTTGTTCCTAATGGTGAAAGCAGCTTAGAGAGGTGTTTGGAGACATTGTCTTTGATGTTAAATATGTCTGTTAATTGGTTGAACTCTTCTAATGATTAGTAATAAGAATGGTTTCGCATTGTACATATATATAGACCCTCAAGTTTACTAAATGTCATTGTGCTTGATAACGATAAGAGAATGCTTATCGAAACGTCGTGCTTGTGTATAATAAACCAGTTTATATACATTTATATTACATTATTATATGCGTTGCGACCCATTTGTGTCAATTTCTAGGTACCAAATATTAGCGATTTAGCTCCTTTAAGACAAAAAATCAAAAACGTCCATTTTCACTTTTGACAGTGTATCTCTTTGCGAGTCAAATGGGGCCGTCAGATAAGCCGCCCATATGAACTGTTTATGTTCATGTGTAGGCAGTTGGCCTGTTATTAACATACACTGGTTACCTCTAATAAAAACAGCAGTGCATTTCCGCAATTTTGTATTGTTTCTGAATATCCCCTACTTTTTTTTGAAGAGTATTATTATGACATTATCGGTATTTGGACTTTGAACATTTTACTTTTTACATCAATGGCAAACAATTTCATATTGGCAGCCATACCCTTTCATAAATTAATGTGAAATAAATACCGCGGTAACCTTTTTCAGACAAGCACACGGAGTTCTTTGCACCTTGCCGTAAAAGGCAATCATCTGTGGTGTCAATAGTAAAATAATAAACATGAGACCCCAGCATGGACCAGATTGTACCACGACAACCTCGACTCAGAGCTGTACCAATAACACTGTAAACTGAAATTTGTGAGAACTTGGAACTCACGGTTCTTAGAAAAGATTTCATATTCTTAGAAAAGGTTTCATATTTCATATTAATTGTTGTATAAATAAACATTCTGCCAACATATTTAAAAAATAACCTAATATCACAAGTGGTCAGTAAGCTGTCGGTATAGCAGAAGGTCACGTCTGTCATCCCGACAGGATGTTTTGCCTTAATAACAGACACACCCATTAAAGGACAATATTGGTGTCAGTCATCATTACATATGTGATAGAACTGGTTAAATACATTCCAAATATAATTTTAACACAGAGATCATTGCTACGGGAGACTTGTACCAAGCACGTGAAGAAACGGGAAGTGACGCCAAACATGACAAACACGAGTTGTCCTTCTATATAACAGACTGAAGTAACGAACGGTAACAGACAAACGATCGAATTTCATTTCACTGATAATTCCGTTGAAGTTGAAAAGTTATTATATGGGACGGTGAGAGGGTATCTCACAATTCAAAAATAGAATTGGTTGTCACTAGATAAGGGGCACGAGAAAAAGTAGAAAAATCCCGTGCATTCCCCCGTTTTTATTCATTCTGTTCTTAATAAAAACATGATAATGCACGGACTTTTTCTAATTTGTTCGTTATCTTTTATCTACTGACAGCCAATTCTTTTTTTGAATTGTCAGATATCCTCGAATCGTCTCGTTACTTCAGTCAGTTATATAGAAGGACAACTCATGTTTGTCATGTTTGACGTCACTTCCCGTTTCTTCACGTGCTTGTTACACATCTCACGTAGCAATGATCTCTGTGTTAAAATCATTTTTGGGATGTATTTAACGAGCTCTATCACATATTTTATAATGACTGACACCAATATTGTCCTTTAACTGATCCAGTAAAAGAACGACAATTTCGTTCATACTTCGTGTGATGGGCCCGCGCCGTTCCCTTAAATCATTTAAGAAGTATGGAATGAATAGTTATAGTAGACTGGAAGTTTGCACCACTTCCCATCTGGGGTGATATGAAGAATAGCGAATGTATAGTTCACTTATTTATATCGATCAGCTGATTGTTAGTTACCGCCCTTGGCGTGCTAATAATTTGACATCAGACAAATGTACTTACTATGAAAGTAAGCTAAATCTCTGTTCTTTGGAATCTAAAATGAGTCAAAAAGCACATTATTAATTTAATATGAATGTATATAACTGATTTACATTCATTTTACATTCTTTTTTATTGTAATTTCTAATCAGCTTTGTTCATCGAAATATGTGAGTCCATTCTACATCGAGAGTACGTGTTTCACATATGCACTGACATTGTTCATCATTACAAACTATGGCGCTCAGTGGCTGAATAGCATACTATTAGAGTTCACGACGTAGCCGAATAATATTGAAAGGCTATTAATTATCCAATTGTTAGTTGCATCCCTTGGCGTGTTTATTAGTTATCACCAGCAAGAGAACTGCGCCTTCTATCACCATAATTAATTAAAATAATAATTCAATATGCTAATTTATATGTTTTGCATATCAATATAAATAGATGGAATAGATGCCAATTAATATGTATTTATGTTTATTTTATGTCATTGTATATATTTTTGCACTGCCATTTAGTTCTTCCCGGTTTAGTTTATAACTATTATTTTGACTACTGTTTCATGTACATTATTGTAGTGCCTTGAATAGTGTCATCATTATTATTGCGATCTGAGTCGGACTAAATGCCCGCTACATATTGCTTGATAGTTATTAAAACTCTGCAACGTTATTTTTAACCAAGAATCCTGCGTTTAGAAGTCCTTTACGAATAAATAGTAATTTTATTTACAAATTTTTGTGCGGTTTTTGAACAAGGGAAGGTTACCTTTTGGCTAATCTCTTAACTACTCGTTCAAAGGGCTACACCACCCTTGTTACAGCTAATCGTCTTTGTTATTAGCATGAAACAATAATATACCCTTAAAATCGAATATTAGGAACAAATGGCATCGCTGACGACCATAACCACATTTTATTACACACGCACTTATAATCGAATATTAGAAACACGGCTTCTCGGGCGACGTAACCAGAAAAAGTTATTCTAGTAAACTGACTACGAGTTAAACCCCATTCCATATTACATGATTACATCAACGATGGGCGTATTATAGGGACCACCTGCTGACACCGGGCAAATATCAATATGTAGAAGTTTGAATGGGTAATGGATTATGATAACTATAAATTACTCATTAAAAACAAAAAAACCCAAAACTGTTGATTGAATGTTATCTAGGTAAAAGATATGATAACGAATATATGAGGATTAACCGCCCAAACACTCGCTCTTTTAATAAGTTTTTATAGTGTAGATAAAACGACTTCTCTGTTTATTCAAATGGCCAGATACATGCAAATTTTCTTTTTGAGTGGTAACCACCTATTCATGTTGATAAGGGTTACCATTGATAAGAATATTAATCTACCTAAACATGCCACAAACTAAATCAATAGGATTTATTTTCATACATAAACACTCGCATTATTGCATAGCTTTAAGGACGTACATGTCATTTATTCATAAGGTGTCTTTATTTAATATACTACCAATCAGTGTTTTTATTTATTTGGATATACATAGGCGCTTAGTAACATGTGAGTAGAAAGTTACACTTCTCATCTAGATTGAATATAGTAATTAATATTAAAATTTGATTAACAAATTTATATTTATATGAAAAACACATTTTCCCCAAGTTGCATATTTTTTTCATGGAATTTTAGCTATTTTCCTGTGCGAGTCGATTTTAAAAGCTAATTTTACAAGAAACCGACAAAATCTGACATTTAATAATGTTTATTCAAACAATACCCATTGATTCATTAAACATGTGATAACAGCTTTTAATATAGTGTGGTAAAATTTCTACACTATTCGAAATATTGATTTTTTTGGCATAAGTATCAATTTTTGGCACTTAAGGCGCTCCATACACAGTTGACGGTACTTGTTCTGTAACATTTGAACGGAAATGCTTAATCTATATAACATTCTCTTAAAAAACCCATAATTTCAAGAATATTGACTGACTAGAAGTAATAAAATCAGATCACAAATATCGAGTCATATAATAGTAGTTTCAAAACTTAAAAAGGGATACCCCGAATCAAATGGTCATATCTCAGTCAATATAAATGCTATAGTCGTATAACTTTGCATTATGTACAATAGCATACATTTTTTTCATGATTTTCTGAGGGGGTCACTTTACAACATTCTAAGTATTTGGTCCACTTGACATGGAATGACCCATTTTACAAAAAGATTCACTTGAAAAATATTTACATATTGATTTAAACAAATGCACAAAACCGAAACTTCAGAGAACCATGAAACAAAGCAGGGGTCAGCTAAAGTCAATATCGGGTATGTCCACCCTGAGCTCTTACACATGCCTGAAGTCGCCTTGGCATGGACTGGCACAGATGTCTCACTACACGCTTTGGGATTGTTTGCAATGATTTTGGAGTGCCTGTGCCAACTCTGCAACAGTTCGTGGTGGCAAGGCTTGAGTTAGAACCCTTTGCCCAAGTTCACCCCAAAAGGTGTTCGATCGGGTTCATGTCGGGAGACATAGCGGGCCAATCCATAACACGGACATGATGATTGTTCAGAAAGTCTCTTGTCAACCTGGCAGTGTGGGGTCGGGCGTTGCCATGCTGGAAAACCATCTGTCGATGGACGCCATGTTGAGCCAGCAGTAGAAGCAATACCGGACGAAGGATGGCGTCAACATAATGTTGAGCGTTGAGATTGCCTTGGACCACCACAAACTGGGACCGGAAGTTGACGTTGATAGCGGCCCAAACCATGACGCCACCTCCCCCGAAACGACCCCTTTCCAGCACGGAGTTACGAGCAAAGCGTTCATGTCGACGTCGGTAGATACGATGACGTCTATCAGGAAAACTGAGGTTCAATCGGGATTCATCCGAGAAGATGACATTTCGCCATGGTGTGTTGTGCAGATACCCCTGATTTGCGGCCCATTGCTGTCTGGCAAGTCGTTAATGATGCAAAAGGATTTGCCCTTGGTAAGGTCGACGGCAGCGTAACCCAAGAGCAGCCAGGCGCCTTCGGACTGTTTGAGGGCTGATCCGACGTTGCCGTGATCCAACAATTCCCCTGGCAGTAGCAGTAGCTGACTGGAACCTGTTGCGCAGATGCTGTAGACACTGTAGTTGGCGATCTTGAGCAGCGGTTGTTACAGGCGGCGCTCCAGGTTGGGTTCGATCGTCAACTCTTCCAGTGGCGTGGAAGCATTGTCTGAGGCGAGCAATGATTGATGGGTGAACATTAAAGTGTCTGGCGACGGCTACCTGTGAAGCTCCCTAATCCAGCATGCCAATAGCTCTATTCCTGTTTTCTTGTGTAAGGCGTGGCATTTTTCCGACGTGGCGAATGTTGAAGGGCCAGAGTGCAGGGAATGCCGTGCAAAATGTATGACATGGGACTGCTTAAAATCGTGAAAAAAGACAAGTGTTGCGTTTGCACGTACAAAGTTCATTACCGAGAACTGATATTGGGTTCAACCCAGAACTCCATAAAAAGAGACCCATCACAAGTTTCACCTATGTGCCATAATAGGAAAGCCCAAGAAAACGTTTACCAGAAATATTTCACGAATTAGGCATTGCATTTTTAATGGCTTTGACTATATTTTAAGGAAACATTTCAGCTAATACTTTGATTAAAAAATGATTATCTGGCACATTGAAGCTTTTTATATTACATCTAGCTTAATTGGCATTGACTTTTACATTTTACAGATTTTACCTAAATAGTAACGATGACGAACAAAACTATTGGTGCTCTGCCACTATTGCCAGATCAACGACCACCTAAGTTTCCTGCTAGTCTTGGAGCTTGCCTCACTAGAAACGGCGACGAATCACACTTACGGATACTCCAAAGACAATATGGCGATTGGAACAGACGTGAACGAAGTACTTACAGAGGACCGGAGAGGAAGATCACTGATAGTCCGAGAAGACGAAGGGATGGGCGATTCCTTAGCCAGAGCCAGAGATCTGCGATTTTCAAAAGTTATTTAACAGAACACCACGATCAAAAGGTAATTATATTGTATAGAGCTGGTTTACACCGATTGGAATTGTCAAATGTGTCGATTAAAAATATTTGTCTGAACTCTAAAGGTGGATATGCTGAGGCAAGTAAGTTTGTTAAGAGTTTAATATAACTCTGTTTATCACCTAATAACACATTCTACAGTAGATAGCGCTTGTGTGATAATTTTCATAATCGCTTTACACTTATTTGCTTGGTCAATTGAAATGGAACTACTTTTTTTTATTAAAAAGAAACTACTTTTATTTAGTTTATATTTCAGCATGACTACAATTAATGATTTTCACTCTGGGCCCTGTTTTTCGAAATCTTTACTAAAGATAAAATCCAAATTTTAGTAGATACTTCAATTTTGATTGGCTAAGCACTAAAATCAATCTTATATTATCCAATCAAATTGCTAAAATGAGGATTTTATCTTAGTTAAAATTTCGTGAAACAGGCCCCAGGTGACTAAGTTTCAGTAGACCCTTCTGAATCAATATGTAGGACTTTGCAACGGGTGACTTGCTGTCAAAACATGATGTATCACTACGCCGTAATGTGATCAGGTTCCGTAAAATAAAATCTTTACCAAAGAATTATATTTATTTATTTGTGCATGTAAGAAATGGTGGGGCGATGAATAAAATCCACTATTCATCTTTTTATATCAAAAAGGACCATAAGGCGACTCTCTCCGATATGTGAATTAGCCCACATCGACAAAGGTTAGTATTGTGTGGCGCAATCGAAGCAGACAGGAGTCGAAAGTTAACTGGTATCATGGAATGTGTGGACGCTAAAGATCTGAATTTGAGGAAATTAGTGATGGAGGTGTACAAATCAAACGGAGAATAAACCCTGTAAATTCAATATGAAGCTTAGTTATAGGATAAGTAAGGAGGTGTCTAAACCCAGCTATAAAGAGACAACAAGCCATACTTAAAGTCAAATATAGAGTTTTAAGACCATACATTCACAATCTAACAAAAAATATTCGTATTGACCAATCCAATCGATAGTTACAGCGATTTAAAGTTTACATTATATTGACTTCACACTGCCCCCTTTCTTAGTCTTTATTTCATTTGAATTGTTTCGAAATACATTTGATTTGTACTTGTCAACATCTGTGTCAACAGGTAAAAAATATTGCCTGCGTTTTTATGTTTGAATTTCCTTAATTACTATCCTAATAATAATTTTTAGTCCATATGTTATGTTGTTTCGTTAATCCGGGGATCGTGGTTTAACCGGTTTAACTCGTTACCCGGTTTTGTTTGGCATAGGTCTATCGTATTTTTATTGATTTATCTCTTTGTTTGATTTATTTTATATTGTCGAACGTTGTCTTTGCAGGACTTAAACAGATTTCGGCACATTGCTCGAACTGTTAGAATCATTGCATCTGTTTGCTTGGGCCTTAAAAGGTGTGTATTGTAATTATGTTATTGTTGTCTGCGATATCACCTCGGTGGAAGCGGACGTAAAATACAACTAACTAACAATTATGTTATTGCTGTTGTACTCTATATTATTAAAGAGCCACGGTGACTCAGTGAGTATGACCCTCGATACTAAAAAGGACGTCACGAGTTCGATATACAGCCTGGCTCCCTTTGTAATTATTACAGGGCGGAGAATTTGGTAAGGAAAGGCTTCTATTCATTCGGATGATACAATAAACTGAGGTTTACCATTTATGGATCTGGCCCAATATATAGGACGCCCCCGGACATTATGCTATTGTATAATATGCTGCTTTATTATGACTATTTTTCAAACTGTGATACTATAGGCTAGTAACCGGCGAGATTATATCTGAATTTGTGTAAACCTACAAGGCTTATTGTAGAAAACTGTTTTATACTTTAGCGTGTATAAATTATAATATTTTGGTTTTGTTTATTGATTCACAGTTATGTAAAGAAGAAAACTAGCCATGATTGGTCGTTTATAGAGATGTATTTATATGTACAAAAAGATATGAAAGACACGTTGGTCTTTAATCCCTACAACTTTCTTAATGATGAAAGTGTAAGTATAATATAAAATTTAAATTAACGCCCGCACAAAAAAAAACCCCGCGAAAACCCCATAACATCTTTTAGATTTAGACAGGGCAAATTCGCTCTATAATCTTTAAGTGGCATTTAGCGATTCAGGAACACATTAAAATAGCCCAATCTTCGACGTTGAAAACATGAATTATCCGTCAATTTAAATCAACATGGATGTTGTGATCTTACAGGGAAAAGATGGGCTTCTGATATCCAATATTTAAGACAAAAGAAACATTTTACCATTGTTACACGAATCGTGTACCATAATGCGTTTCAGCGCTATTTATAACAAGGGACTCGAAGAACGAGACTAGACATATTCCACAAGTCATGTCAAACAGTGACCTCATATTCTTATCTGGAGAGCATGCGAAATAAATACTATCAGTGTAGACTGGAATGAACCAAACGCTAGAGATTGCCATTCGATTGAGACCCCTGGCGTATTTCGCCGAACATAACTGATTAGAATTTACAGTAAAAACAGAAACGATTGAATGTAAATCAGTTTATATATATTCATATTACATTATTATATGCATTGCGACCCATTTGTGTCAATTTCTAGGTCCCAAATATGACAGATTTAACTCCTTTAATCATAACGCAATTTTTATGGGATATCAATCACTGGTTTTATTCTATTCGACAAAAATCCTCTTATCGTTATCAAGCACATTAACATGGCTGTATGGCTGGACTATGCTCTCAAATCTCAATGGGAAAACGAAAATTTACTTTTCTAATTGACCTTTGTAAATATTTTGTGAAACAGGTGGATAATTTTGTCTATTTTAATTTGTGTAGGTCTCCCCGATTGGGGGGGGGGGGGTTGGATGGCTGAATGGTTAGCGTGCGCGCGCTGTATAATAAAGTCTGTCATTGAGTCAACTGGCGTGGTTTCGAATCCCCGGTTGTACGTGACAAGGAGTAGGGTTTTCTCCGGGTCCTCTGGTTTCCTCCCACTGCTAAAGACCCCTACGCGCAAGCGAATTATTGAAATAAAAGTTAACCATATGTTAGTCCCGAAATGACCTAGTTTGTGTCGAGTGGACGTTAAACCCCATTTCTCTCTCTCTCTCTCCCCGATTGGATTGGATAATGTAGGTCAGGTAAGAGCATCAACGATATCGCGTTTTGCTCGAATTCCTACAGCTAAATTGTAGAATTTCAAACAGATCAACTACTGTCTGGTAGTAAACAAGACTTTTTTTTTGCGAAATTGTAATGCTTTTAAGACTAACAATGTACTATGGACCAAGAACTGATCATGTTGATGAATGTAATTCAAAAATCTAATTCACCAAATCGATGCAGAACTATTCAAAGAACAAGCTTGTCGATTATCATGTCGACCTGAGCCTTAGGCATTTTCGAAGAGCGTTACCTCAAGAACAAGAACAAGATGAGTAGCGGTTAGCGACCAGTTCCTGGTTAAAAAAAATAGCGGCTATGACATAATATATAAATGTTATTTGCAGCCACCAACTGGCAATGAAAGATTAAAACGTGCTCTTACAATGTTACCATCACTCAGAACACCAGCAGATATATTATTGGTAAGTTTCGCATTCTAAATAATAATACCCAAACCACCTTACCATAAAATTCAGACAATAAATTCACAGAATGCAACCGATTAGAAGGGGGCAAAATTGACAGTGTTATATAGGCGTTATGCGTTAGAAATCTCTAATCCTGTCATACAAAGTAAAACGATAGCCACGCAAAATGTAAACATACGCCCAAACAGCAACTATGTCTCAACTGGAGCTTATCCGAGAGGAAAATTTGGATGTTGACCAAATTTGATAAGGGATGCCTTAAAGAAATCTGATCTCTGCCGTGATCACAGGCTTGAAAAAATTATGTTAGAAACTATTGCATCTGCCGAGTTCACAAGGTATTCGGCAAGGGGGGTGGGGGTAACCCTGGAAGAAAAAGTCACAGCAATACGGTTCGTCCTCCCATGATCACAATGCTTCTCACCAGATTTGAAACAAATCCATTAAAGACTGTAGCGTGTATTATGTTCACAACGTTTTTGGGAACACCGACTATCGAGAAGGTTGGTTCGTCCTCTCATGACCACAGTGCTACCACCAAAATTTGAAAACGAAATCTGTTCAAAACGATAGTCTCTATGTTTTTCACAAGGGGGAGATAACTCCGGAACGGAAGGTAATGGAACGCTGATTATCGAAACGCTTCACGTTCACTCCGTCATGGCACCAAAGCTTCCCACCTAATTTTGAAAAAAAAAATTGTTTTCACTAGATTTTCTGCAAAGGCTGATAACTACAGAACGGAAAGATGCGAAACGCTGAATGTCGCTAGGGTTCATCCTCTCATGACCCAAATTTTCCCCACCAAATTTGAAAACAGTCCATCAAAAACTGTAGCCTCTATCAAGGTTTTCGGCAAAGTGGGAATAACTCCGTGATGGGAAATCGAAAGGGTGTATCCTCTCATGACCCCAATGCTTCCCACCTGATTTGAAAAGAATCCGTTAAAAACTATAGCCTCTAAGGCGTTCACAAGGTTTTCAGAAAGGGGGGCATAGCTGTGGTTCGTAACGCTGAATATCGATCGGGTTCATCCACTCATGACCATAATGCTTCACACCAAATTTGAAAACGATCCGTCAAAAACTGTAGCCTCTATCACCTTCACAAGTCAGTCACTTGTTGTAGGACGGACCGACATGGAGACGGCTACAGACGCCCAAACTACGCGTGGGGGTTCAAAAATGTCTTTGAAATAAGAAAAAAATGTGTTTTGCGATACGAAAATATTAAGACGACACATTCCCTTTTACAAGATGGGTACGAAAGCTTTGAATTGTTTGTCTTTTTAGATATTGACTTTTATCAGAAATAATAAATCGTTCAAAGATTATCCACCGTATACACAGATAGAGATGTGTAAATGTATGATACTACAAAAGTAAGTAACTAACGCTTTTAATCAAAATCTATATTTTATTAAAACAACTGAAATGGGTTTAGGGACACGCATAGCCTATTTGGGCTTTCTCCAAAAATAAAGAATGAAAATGTATATTTCTGAAACTGCCCCCTCCCCACCCCCCCAATACCCAAACATCCAAACACCTCGTCACCTGTGTACTCTGCATTGATATTTCACGTTTTATACTTTTATATTTGATAAAGTTATGAATCTCGACGTATAGTAATCAAACAAGGACAAATGGCGTCTGCGTTTTATGTTGTTATGTCTGGTACGTTGTTGATCAATGTCACTGAAATCAACCCACACACAGGAAAGAAATTCTACAGATCATGTGCTGAATTAAAGGAAGGTAACTGTTTTGGGGTAAGACAACAATTAAACCTACTTTTTTTTACGGGGGAATCTATGAAAGTCAAATCGAAAACGGGCCCGCATCACTGAAGTTTTCATTTAATATTTTTCGGGATTTGTTTACAAGCATGCAACTAATTTGCGTAAAAAATTAAGATAAATGGAGTCGGAATTGTGATAGTGTTCTTCTAGATACCTAAACGAACAATCCTTGCAAATTTGAAAAACTCTGATCTGCAGAGTGTTCACAAACATGTCTGAATCGCCATCTACTATGATGGCTAGGTGTTGCCCACCCGCTTTCTGACAAAAGGCCATAACATGGTTTTTACTCAAGTTAACTCAATTTGTAGATGGGTTTGCTAGTTTTAAAGCTGAATTGTTTAGTTACAAATTTGTGTACATTAATTCTTAATTAAAGAAGAGAATTTGCCACTGAACCCCATATTAACCAATTTTAAGATACGTTTGCTGTGATATTGTAGGAGGTGGGTTTATTAGAGAGATGTACTAGAACAGCTAGTGTAATATGTAAAACAGATTGTCAACTACTATTGATATTACAAGATGATTTTGATAGATTGATTAGACAACCTTTATTACAACAAAGACAAGATCATGTTACATTCTGTCAGTAAGTTGAAAAATTGTATTCCACAAACACGAAACATGGTATACAAGCTATTTCTAGAAAGCTTGAAAGCATTTTATTGAAAGTAAATTTCTCCTAACTACTAAATTGTAACTGTAAAATTCAGAATAATACACGAAAGGAACTTGTACTCTAATATAAATTGGATTGACTCTTTGCAACTGGTGGTGTTATTTCCATACATTTTAGGTTAAAATCTTGCTTGATCAAAAATAATAGGCCATTGCCATTACAATAATTAAATCTGGGCAGCCATAAATACAGTACCACAATTTATATTTGGCAGTTTTGGTGACCAATGTTCTTTGGAAACCGTCTTATTATTTTCAGGAGTATTAGTCTATTCCAGCATTTTCCTTGCGAAAAACTTGAGTCAAACCAAATAGAATTCTTCTATCAGTATTTTCCGTAAGTTTAGTTTAATTTTGTTTTTCAAGTTAGATAAAGAACTCAATGAATATAATGAAAGAAAGTAGCGCAAAGCTAGATGGACTCCACTCCAGATAACTTGGCGCTAATAACGTTTACTAGCGGTTTACTCGGCGTTGCACAGCTACAGCTCTGAACTGGAAATTATATAAATGTCATTTAAGCCTGGGGTCAGCCATAATATAGTCACCAACCCGGAACAGACAAACAAATCGTTGTTTGATTCGTTAAAACGTTAATTGCATTCCTATTATATATTTAGGAAAGAAACCATAATAGCATCAGAAGCGGGAGAAATTAAATATTTGATTGTCATCATGACAGTAAGTGTATCTCAGTCTTCTCTTTTGTGCTTATAAACCACCATTTACGTATGGTTTCTTGTCGTCTCCCATTTATTGCTATTTATATGGAATGGCTTTATCCAGACGAGAGTGACTACGACGTTGGCTCGCGAACCTGGAGGTTCCGTGTTCTATCACGGTGTTGATCAAGAATGTTCATAGGGATTGTCCGGCGTGGTTACCCGTTGTCAGTGGTGCAGTACAGAGGGCGTGACAAGGGACAACGTATGGGACGAAAAACCGTGTACACATTGGCATGCACGTAAAAGATCCCTTGGCAATTAGTAATCGATATAAGAGTGGGCCGTAGCGCCGCTTTCCGGTCCAAATTTCCCCTATACCACACTCGAGAGCATATTCCCGTCTTCATTATCCCAGTCGGAGCAGAACAGTAGGACATTAAACCCCATTTCATTTTATTTTATCCTGATGTTTCTTTATTCTGTGGGGGAGTGGGGGTGGGTGTGGCCGAATGGTTAGCGCGTGTGCGTTGTATCACAAGGTCTGCCATTGAGTCAACTAGCGTGGATTCGATTTCCTGGTTGTACGAGACGAGAAGTAGGGTCGCCTGCCCAACCTCGTAGGTTTTCTCTGGGTCCTCCGGTTTCCTCCCACTGCTAAAGACCCTTAGACACAAGCGAATTATTGAAATAAAATTGAACCATGTTAGACCCGAAATGACCTAGTTCGTGTCGAGTGCACGTTAATCTCTCTCTCTCTCTCGCTCTCTCTCTCTCTCTCTCCGTTTTAGTAAGCTTAGAATACAACTAACAATTTCTTTTCTAATTATTCATTTTTAAATTACAGGGAAAATGTCGGTTAATCAACTGCATTGACGTGACCAATACTAAAAACAAGATTAGCTTACCTAATCAATATAACATGAATAACAGTAAGTTTTAATTACCTCCCCCCCCCCACCTATTCTCCTATTGCATATACACGGATACTATCAGCTTACAAGATAAAACATTTAGCGATGTTGGGCATTGACTAATAACATCCCATATTAGGAATGGGACGAAGACCAATTTCAATTTGGGAATCCAGTAGCAATTAAACCATTTGGGGAGTCTAAGGATTGTTGGAAGTCCCCGAATATGTGTGCCTTTTGTTTGGTGTTGGGTTTTGTTCATGGTTAGTATATTCCTGAAGCAATAGCCCAAGAAATCCCTCTCTGGCCATTGCTGAAGTACAGCAACATGACAGCCCTTCATTTAATCTGGGGTCTTCTCTAAAACTTTGGACTGTGATTTAAGGTATTAAAAACGGCGAAAATGTTGTTCGACTTCAAACAGAATTGTTTACATTGTATGGGAGATAATGATATTTCTTCATCTCAGGCTAAGATTATGTTCTTAATATTTTGGAAAAGAAGGTCACTTCCCCCTGAATCGATCATCAAAATAAAGTGTTTTTCAATATCCAATTAATCGGAAAACAAGTTGATGTTGTTGAACGTCATTCCCCCAACTATAATACCCCTCTTCATTTTCCTGTCGCCGTGGACACAGTTCTTTGAATTGGGAATTAGATTGATGTTTCATTGTTTTATCGGAAGGACGAATAGATACAAAGAAGACCACAGCAAATCATGTACTTGTTTTAATGATGACTAATTTAATATGTATTTTGATTAGGTTATTGTTTTATTTAAGATATGAGGCGTAACCCAATACGTAGAGGCTTCAGAAAGAGATCGGAAATAATAGACTTGATTGTCAACAACAGGTCGATTTTTTCTGACACCAGATCGAATTCTTATATGAAGGATACTCTTTCAAAAAAGGTTTGCTCTTATTTAAGAAATATACAGGGCCTATTTTAAGGTTTATTGACGAAGCACGGTTTCCGGAGATGGAAGTTTTTTGACTGGGTTTCCCCCTTTTGGTTTCCGACAAAATTTCCAAAACATGACTCACGATTTTCCACACAGAACTTGGTAGCTCAATTTAGCTTCTTCCATCACCGTTATTAGCTCTAATGTGTTGGAATAAACCTTCTGAAATCGTGACCAAATTAGTTGTGACCAAAACAAAGGCTCACCAGAAGTGAAATAAAAACTTCCTGAATTATCACCACGCTTACACTTTTAAAACAAAACAAGCGGTTGGCATACACGATACGCCGACATTCTGTAAGATATGGATAGGGAACAGGGAAATTCGATAGGGCTCAACCTCTCATTGACCCAATGCTACACATCGAATATGAAACTGTAGCCTATATCGCGTTCACAAGGTTTTTGGCAAAGTTTGGTAACTCGATGGGGTTTGTCGTCTCATGACCCCAATGCTTCACATCAAATGTGAAAAAATAAAACAGGATTAAAACGCAAGTCCTTGTCGCTTCCACAAGGTTTTCCAGGGGGCTTAACTCCGGAACAGAAGGTCGCGGAATGCTGATTATCGGTATGATTCTTGCTCCCGTGTTCTCAATTCATCACAATATAAAGCTCACAAACTTTGTTACGCTCTGTGTATGTAAGGTCATAATCCAAGCAGATGCACCAAAATCGAATTCAACCAAGATCTTTTGATCCTCAACATCTAAAACGGTCAAAAATTGAGGCTTAAATTAAAATTTGCATACTATTGACATTTGTATTTATGGCTGCGTATCGGTATCATTGGCAGTCCAAAGAAACGCCCAAAAGCAGACGAACCTTTCCTGTAACATGCAGCTGACTACTTGCGTCATTAACTGCTTTATTTTTCGACATTTACATACAATCCACGAAATTGAATCGAAACCAAACGCATTGATTGATGATCACAATGATTGTTAATGACACACTTGCTAAATTTCCTCATGCGATCTTTTCAGATTCACAAGGATACATAACATACCATTATACCATCTTTTCAAAGCATGAATTTTAGATTCTCCAAGCACGGATTTTTCATTTCGAGGCACGTCCGTGTCTGTAGGCACGTTAGAATAGGCCCTGGAAATATAAATATTTTTTTTTATATCCGGAGCTAAATTTCGCCTTCTTCCAATGTCTTCAGCCATTTAGCCTCCTCTTTTTATTTATCCTACATAGTTCGTGTCTTTATTATATTTATCTGTGAAAGTTATATAATTGGCGTGATTGTCTTTGAATAATCTTTGATTTTACCCTCTCGGATTGGTTTCAGTTGTTATATGGTGTATATATTATATAATAAAATATTCTTTAAACTGACGTGTATGCAAAAATTTCAAATCAAATAGTTCTAAACAATATGATATTTTTTATTTCAGAACAAAGAGAGTTCAGATATTGGCGGACCTCCAAGACTATTAAAATCGCGAACAGTAAATAATTTTTACGAAGAAAATGAAAAGAACATTAAGGTTGGGCAAAACTATCTAACCTTCATATTACCAAACATTCACCAAATTTACGCACACTTCTATAAACCGTTAGTCTGAATGACAACATATTTTAAAAGATGTTACATTATAATAAGGGGGGTTGGATGGCCGAATGGTTAGCACGTGCGCTGTATCATAAAGCCTGTCATTGAGTCAACTGGCGTGGTTTCGAATCCCCGGTTGTACTCGACAAGGAGTAGGGTCACCTGTCCAACCTCGTGGGTTTTCTCCGGGTCCTCCGGTTTCCTCCCACTGCTAAAGACCCCTACGAGCAAGCGAATTATTGAAATAAAATTAAACCATATGTTAGTCCCGAAATGACCTATTTTGTGTCGAGTGGACGTTAAACCCCATTTCTCTCTCTCACACATTATAATAATCTTTATAGCTATAAAATGTCAAAAGCTGTTAGTTCGAATGACCATACACTGTATTAACTGTTAATTTAAATTACTATACATTCTGTTAATCTATATATTTTATAATCTGCTAGTCTGTATAATATATCTTATAAACGGCTAGTCTGGATAACAAGTGACAATCAGGGCTGCCCTTTATTCAAGGCAAACGTCACATAATATGTCCAAACTACAGCAATCCAGGGTTTCTGAAAGCCATTCATCTTATTGAATATATTATGTCATAATATCATATAAGTCCCCGTTCCTCAAGATGGTTATCACAATTAGCGATATCAGCTGTATTTTTCATAGATAAAAGATGATACGACATCCAATCAAGTATTTGCACAGTTAGCTGAATTAACACCTGGATCTGTTTTTGTAAGTATTAATATCAATGTTTTAAAAACACAATTCGCTAACTACAAGTCTAAAGACCACTTGTCTTTTGTTAATTTTTCTTTGATAATTTGCTGAACAAACGAATATTTTCCTTATTTATTAGGATTTGGCTAATATGGATATTACTATATCTTTATTAGAGGAAACCCATCATCAGTCTTTTGTGGATTTATTACAGGGTTTAGAATCTATAGTTAATGGTGAAAGAAGGGGTTTAAAGATTATTAGTGATGGTGTAGAGTGTTTGTTTGTATCTAAAAGATTATTTCTTCACGAGGCTAATATTAAAGTTTTAAGTATTGTCAATGACATGGTAAGATGGTTATTTTAATAAAAGATTCAATACATTTGAGCGTTCATCTGAGTTCTCCCCCCTACATCGACGATGCAATAAAATACATTTAAGTCAAAAGAAATGGGGGTTAACGTCCATTCAACAAACGGTAGGTCATTTCGGGATGGAATCAAAGTAATTGGTATTTCAGAGACAAACCACAATGCATGCAGGTCATCTCTGCCTTCCATACTCAGACATAGTTATGTCTTGTCAAAATATTGGTATTTTCACGATTCTTGGGTCTATTAGATATTTTAAAATGTATGCCCTATCTTCCAGTGAACTCCGTTTTAGCGCATCGCCGTTAGTTTTCTAGAAAACTAATTTCCACGTAAATGTTTCTATTAGTAAGTGCAGGGGGACCGCTCTACACGCCAGGAAAAAACCCCGATAAGACAAAGATGGGGACAAGACACAAACTGCAAGCAATAAACAACAAATACAAACTCAAGTGATTATTCAGTAAACATGGCTATAGTTTCATAATAATCCATTATTGTGATTTCATTCTGAAACAATCAAATATCGAGACTGACCACGACTCCAAAAAAGGTGTAAAAGCCAGACAATTAAGCAGTGGACACATTAGCCGAATCGTTCGGCCGAACCAATCGGCGCCGAATTTTATTCGGCCGAATGGGTGGAAACACTAGCCGAATGCTTCGACCGATTCAACCTGTCGATTGCATCACCTTTCACGTCACATGATTAAACATGGCGGCGTCTATGTCTTCAATCTATCACGTGACTTCTCGATATGAGTGGTGATTGGCTAATGAATATAATTCGGCCGAATAAATAAATATTCGGCCGACTATATCAAACCTGTTTGATTCGGGCGTAACCAAGGGTATAGATGACCGGGGCGGACGAAGATGTATTCGTATTATTTGTTACAAAGAAAATATAATTTATTACAAAGGAAATGCAATTTGTTACAATGGACATATAATATGCCGTGGATTCGGGTATTTAAGCGTCTACGATATCATTTATGGTGAAGGCCGACGTCAAACGCCAACCAGCAACAATGAAATAAAGCTATTGTACAAAACTTGGCGGGGAACATCTTTCTGTGGTGTAAGTGCTACTATGCCCACTTCATTGAAATTCAAATGATTCAAAGTTAATTTTAATTTACTTGTAGGTTATGACGTTTCCATCTGAAGAAGAAATAACTAGTCGAGTTGAAGAACATCGTAACTGGTTAAACTATAAACAACGAATTGTGAGAAAATCGCTTCATAACTCAAAATATTTGTCACGACAAAAGACTGTTATATAAAGTAAATATATTCGACGAACGCACTATGTAATATATGGGGAGGTGAAGATCATTTAACAAAGATCGAAACTTCTCAAATCTATTTATCCTATAGGTTGTTGTTATTATGACACCATAAACCGAAACATCTGACATCTATTGATAGGTTTAGGTTGTTGTTATTATGCCACCATAAACCGAAACATCTGACATCTATTGATAGGTCCAGGTTGTTGTTATTATGACGCCATAAATCGAAACTTCTGACATCTATTGATAGGTCTAGGTTGTTGTTATTATGACGCCATAAACCAAAACTTCTGACATCTATTGATAATTCTAGGTTGTTGTTATTATGCCACCAAAGACCGAAACTTCTGACATCTGTTGATAAGCTATATTATTATATGTATGACACTTATACACTGCAACTACTGTGCACACGAAAGACTAATTGTTTTGCCCGACAGGTTATCACCGACGAGCAAACGGGCCTGGTGTACGCAGTTTATAATATAATAGAATGCAAAGATACAGATTTTTCAATCTGATTCAACCAAAGCCAGTGTGGCTCCATTAACTAAATGAAATTCCCAGTTTTGCCCACGTAGAAAAATTATAAATTATTTAGTGGGTATGAAACCTGATGCTCATTTGGTTGTTTTCGTTATTTAGAAAATAGCTCTAATGTGTTGTAACAAAGACACAATATTTAAAAAAAAAAAAAAATTGTAAAATAAATATGGTAGTTTTTATGCACTATAAAAGAAGAATATAATAAATATCACAGACAATAATGGTTAAACATACATTATGCAAGAGCTAAATCTACCTATTGCAGGACTTTCCTTAGGCCTGAAATGTTATCTCAATTATTAATTAGACATTAATTAACTTATCCAGACTATAATCAACCCTCGATGTCATCGCTAGCCTGCAAAATTTAGCGGTTTGGAGTACATTTTTTTTTAAAAAAATAATGAAACGTAAAATTGGATAACCTAGACTTTGTTCTTTATTGTACCGACTTTAGTAATGATGATCGAGGCTAGCCTAAAATTCAAAATATTTCGGTTCAAAGTTGGGGAATTTGACTGAAATTTTCAGCATATTCTATTTACATGATCTATTTTTAACTATTATAGCGAGAATTGTCAACTCTTTATCTCCATAATACCTCTTTAAGCAAAAGATATAAACAAACATCCGTAATGGCAATAAATATAAACGAAAACTATACATCAACAGAATACTAAACAAATTATACCTCAAATAATTCCTAATATTTATCCCTGGCAAATTTAAAACTTGGCTGGACGATTTATACACCACTTAAGTCTTAATACTTATCTTTAGTCCTTTCAAATTTAAAACTTAAAGCTATCCTGAAAATTCTATATACCAGAGTATGTTTTATATTGGGGTGTATGATGTAAATAGCACGTACTTAATACTACTTATTCAGGGTTGCCAAAAGCTGTAATCACCGTTAGATATAAAGAATAGCTCACGATAGCTTTAAGACGTACTCCTTTTTGTAGGTTCGCGATAGCTTTAATGAGATTGTAAGTTCACGAGTGAAAAATAAAAATGTCACGATATTTCATGTCACCTTTAAGAAAAAATGGACGGAAGAATTCAATATTCAAATAGCAAATTTTAACTGCCAAGTGATACGTGTGATTTTCTAGGACTAAGAGCTGTTGTTAATCTTTGCATTAATATTTGTTTATATTGTGTCCATGTTTCTTGATCATATAATATAGATTTGACTTCTTCTGTTGTCAAAAACTGTCTTTGCTGTAAATATAAACACAATTTATTTTAAAGGGTATCAAGTAATATCATTTATTATAATAATATATTATATGCTGACTCTATTAGCCGACTCATTCGTATACTGTGATGATATAAGATAATTATAAATCCCATATTTGTAATAGAGGTGTGATTTGTCAGATTAGTCAACTTGGCATACCCTTAACAAGCGGCCACCCTCTAACTTTAGGTGGCAGATGCAGTCTGACCTGTGTCGTCACACGTTGTTATTGTGTAGACGGGGATAGACGTAAAATTCCAAATAATGAACCTGGCTATGGCGAGAAGGGTTCTTATTATGCGACGTCGTTTATATAAAGGTATTACCTTACAGTCCAGGAGCTAGCAAAGATTGAATTAGCATCTCCATTACAAAAGGTTTAAGTCCCAATTTTGCAGGAATCGCAAACAGCGCCTCCTGGTGGTTTCCCCAAAAGCATAACTTAATATTTGCTTTTTACGGGTCCCGATTACACATCTAGTAATTCAAGGCCTCAAACCTTTTGTACTCGAAATGCTAATTAAATCTTTGCCAGGTCCTGGACTATTATTAATTTCCAAACACTGTTATCAAAATGGAAACGACGAACGCAAAGGAAATCTTATTCTAGAATACTTGTTGAGCATAATGTAATATAAAATAAACTTACCATTGTTTCTACTTTGAGTATTGTATTATTTTGAGCATGTTGTAGAAAAAATCTTTTACTTATTTTGACAACTTCAGCACCATCACTCATCTACAATATAATACATTGATGAATCAATAAATAAACATGGATTAATGTCACATCAATAACATTGTTAAATAAGCAGTTCAGGCCCTGTGTTGGCACAGTGAGTAGAACGTTGGCTAGCTAAGGAGCTCTCTGGTTCGCTCCAGGTGTTTGCCGAGAGAGTTCCTCGGAATTGTCGGGCGTGGTTTCCCCTTAAGTGGTGCACGACGGAGGACGGAGGACACATTGGCGTACACGTAAAAAAAAACTTGACTGTTGAAATTCGAAATAAGAGTAGGTCGTAGTACCGCAGTCCGGGCAAAATTTCCGTCACAGCACACTGTAGGCCTATGGCGTATGCCCGTTTTCATTATCCCAGGTGAGGTAGGACGTTAAACCCCATTTCAGTTCATTTATGATATTGTACTGCTCTGGTCGGTTTTAGCCCTTTCTTTATTGACTGGATTGGACTCAAGTACTCGGTTCTTGATATAGCCTGCTTATCCCATTCAAGCTAGCATGGGGGGGGGGGGGGGTCGGATGGCCGAATCGTTAGCAACATGTGCGCGCTGTATCATACGGTCTGTCATTGAGTCAACTGGCGGGTTTTCTGCGGGTCCTCCGGTTTCCTCCCACTGTTAAAGACCCCTACGCGCAAGCGAATTATTAAAATAAAGTGGGCAGACCTGAAATGCCCGAAAAATTTCTGTTTACAGACGTCGGAGTTATTTTTGACAAGATAATAACTTTTATCAAGTTATTATTATCTAACAATTTTTTATGTTATTAGAAATAATATTGCACAAAGCTCCTTGTCTGATTATGCTTTCATGTAAATTTGTTTTCTTACATCGGGAAATTGATATTGAAAATATAGACAAACTAGGGGGGGGGGGCAGGTAGAAGTTAGTGTTTGGGTAACACAGATACGACACTAGACACTAGTGTTCATGTCGTGTAAATATATCCATGTTCAACACAACCTCGACACCTTAACTCGATTGATTTCAAACACTGATCTAACTGGTGTTAAACACTACACCACCTTAACCCAAGACTTGAACTGACCCAATGTACACCTGTGTTATTGAGAATTGGCTTTTTTCTGATTTATCCTTTGAAAATGCTCATTTCAAGGAATACAAACCACTTATAGATCGCATGATTAGTTTACTTTGTAATCGGTCAGTATATTATAATTATATTTTATTTGTTATTCCTTATATATATTTCCCCTTCAGTACAGATAACTACCTTTAATTCCAATTAACATTGATTCCTATAGTGGATAGGAAAGTCTTGGAATATATTTATTATCCCGACTTTAGTTAAAGTGAGAATATTGGACAAGTTTATTTTTTCATACACAAATCTTTTTCACGTAAAAATGTACTTTCTGTCATATATCATAAGATACAAAAGTTTGTATCTTACTCCCTTGTCTTGAACAGGGCAATGAAAATTTATTTAAAAAAATGAACTAAATGCAACTTACAAGACTGACCGCTGGACCTTCATTAAATATATCATTTGATGTTTCTAATGTTTCCAATCCCTTTAAAATAAAAAATACATTATCATACTAATGGTGCAAAAAGAGTAAATTATCAGTAGCCATTATGGAGTTTATCAAGTACTTTTCCACTCTCCACACAAATCTCGCTATCCAGCATTCGACTCTGCCCACGGCTCACGCACTAAACTGGTTGACCGATTAACTACATGATGACAATGGCATCTGTCAGAAAAATTCCTTGCGTTATAGTCAATTTTAGGGGAAAATGTCATCAATTATTACCCCTCCGAAAGAAAACGGTCTAATTTTGCATGTTTCGTGTGTAAATATATTAGGCCTTACGATCTCATTATAAAGGTAAACAGATCCACGTGTATTATATTCTAAAATTAGCACGGCGACATGCAGAGTTCGTATTTCCGACCATTTAACCCTGTAATCTTACGCGAAAAAGTTCCCTTTAATATTTGTAATTACATTGTTACTTTGCAATTGTGACCCCACTTCTATTTAAATATGGTAATAGTATTAAATGGCATTGGTTATCATTGTCCATCAACACCAAGAATCTTGGTGGCGTAGTCAAATGAGCCGTTAGCAGAGATTGTTTGGACTGCAAGGGAAGACAACTCTGTTTGGGAGATTGGTACTTTTCATTAAAATCTATACAATTCTGTTACACCCGGGGAAATGTTAAATGCTGTGTAAGGAGCAATATAAATCTCTTTGATTTAGGTGAAAATAATGAGTAGAATTAGTCTGTTCTGATCTGTTAATTCCACCCTTGATGAACAGGCTACATTCGACTATTATTTCATTTCGGAAGATAAAGCGGATGTTGGTCTGTTGCCATAGCTGGCACAAATTTGTAATATTTTAATAATTCAACACTATTTTCAAGTAGAATGTTCAATTACAAAAACATGCACTCTTCGCTTGTTCAGGTCTCGTAATGGCTGATTAGTTCAGACGTATTTTGTGTATGTTATTTAATAGCTAAATTCTACTTGAAAATAGTGTTTAATTATTATAATTTGGGTCAAATGTGGCGAAAAATGATTCCTTTTGGCGAAAAATAAAGAATCACAGTGACATATAGAAGGTAACAGAGGTGGGGAAGAGTGGTATTTTCATATTGCAGCTATATAGGGACAGGTAGGAACTATCAGCGTGAAACCCCATAGAATGTTCCTACAAAACAAAGCAACTATGAAACAAATGACCCACATCAGTTCTATTTTCACACAAAACAAAGAGGCCGGGTCAATGTAAGCATTTAATGCTTTGCCTTATGTGCGATAAATAGCTACAGTATGCCTGCCGAGAAAAGAGAAGCAAACAATAAAAGCGAATATTCTATATGATATGATATTATAATGTTGGCTAGAAAACAAGATAATAAAATGACACAACGACCACAATCAGTATTGTGGTTTAACATCCACTGTTTTGCATACGCCATACACCTGTTCATCGTCGATTTCCAGCTGATATGGTTCTTTTACGTGTACACGGGACCTTGATTCTTCGTGCCATCCGAACGACTAGCTGTGACAAGAGGAAACCACACTGACAACGAACCACATTGGAACGAACCAAGGACCTGCTGATCCACCATTAGTCTCGACAACAGCTTCATCATTACCAAGATTTACTAGCCAAAATGCATTGTAGGCCATAACACATTTCTGGCAAAAAGCTAAGAAACAAAACATTCTTGCTTTGCAGTGCAGAGGCGAAGAAATAAGCGCTATATTGAGTGCAAGCTAAAAATACAAAATGGATAAAAAGCGCCAGGTCGTGTAAAATAACAAACCTCGATTCTGTTTGATTTTCTAGGACTAACTTTATCTTCAAACATGGCGGCTATGTCGTTAAGTCCCTAACAAGTGCAATATTCATTAAAATGCTTTAATAGTAAAGGTATTATTAATATTGTTTATTTTGTGGGGATTGTGAAGTTGCAGATTATGTTGACTGATAAAATATTTACCATGGTCAGAAAATATCAAAATATTTCCAACAAATAGACGGATTAGACTATTAACGGAAGACTAACGGAAGACTAACGGGAAACATCACCCGGACCGCAATTTAGGAAAAAAAATCATTACTGTGATAAAATTCGTGTAAACATACATTATGCAAGAGCTAAATCTGCCTATTGCGGGTGTTTCTTTAGACCTGAGATATTATCTAAATTATTAATTAGACATTAATTAACTTATCCAGAACCTAATCAACTCTCGATATCAACGCTAGCCTGTGATATTTAATGGATTAGGATCCCATTTGCTGCTCAACTTTCATTCATGATTTAATCATGAAATGGATAATCGAGACTATGTTTTTTTTATCGTACCGACTTTAGTAATGATGATCGAGGTTAGGCTGAAAATTCAATCGCTAAAACTTGGTTCAGACTAAAATTTTCAGCAAATTCCCTTTACATTATCTAGTTTTTAACTATTATAGTGAGAACTGCCAGCTCTTTATCTAATCTCTCATAATGTATCTTTAAGGAAAGAATTCATATTTTACGATTACTTACAAATATATCACCAGCAGAGAGTGTATCCAGTTGTAAATATGCCCGTCTGTGTGTCTGTTCTTTCTTTCTATTCCCCTTACTATAAACAACATCGTTGTCGGTTTTTTCTCTAGTTAAGAACGTACCATGCGGATGAAAACCTTCGCCCACGCGCGGGGCAACTATGCTGGCCTGCACGATTGGTGGCAATGAAACACTTTTAGATCGAGACTGATAATGAAAATATTTAAAAATCACATAAAATTCAGATATAAATTATGTCTGTACTTAAAGAAAGGGTTTAATATAGACATTTCAGACGCTCTAAACATTTTTAAAGTTTTCGATTACAGCCTTAATTCAGTTCATTGGCATGTGACTGCACATCAGGATAATGTTTATTGTATTTATCCAACGGGTCATATAATATACAGCTTGTGTGTATATATATATATATATATATATGCTGACTGATCTAATCGTTACTTAAGTTATAAATATACAAACAATATTATAAGGCAGAATTTAGATGCGACATCTGTGACAAAGTACTCTACAACTTTCATCAAATTGAACGATCATTTAGGTGCATAGAACTTATTGACCTAAGCTGCTTTTGATAATATATTATAATGACTTTTCAACGCTGTATGTACTTGTGTTAAGGCACGAACTGGCTATGTTCTTATTAAACATGTAATTTTAATTACATGTTTAATTAGATCAACAGTTCGAATCCCATATGTCATTTACAAACTACATAATTATGATCTGTGTACAAGCTCTTCATGACTTCAAAGGAATACGCACTGGTCAATAAGCATACCATGACGTGATAAAGAGACAATTGCATGTATGATCACGAGTTTTATCTATTGTCGGAGTGTATATAAGCAGGAGTTTGCAGACGACTAGAGCGGAGAGACGCAGATACGAGACGACTTGAGACGAGCGGGGAGGAGAAGAGAGGCTTGGACGAGTGCATAGACTCACCCGAGTTCAGCCGCTGTCTTGGCAGAGGTATAAATTAAGGTACCGTAATATATAATAATATAATCGGAATATTTATAAAGTTAATTCTCTATCTGTATTAATATTTTGTATCTTTTTTATTTTCTTATTTACTTGAATAAAACACCAAATCAAAGGTCAATTTTTCAATAAACAAGTAGTATGCTACTTACTATTTTTCCAGAGATATCTATACTATCATCCATCGCCTGGACGTCTTTATTATGTCTGCGTATATTAGGTAGAGTTATCTCCCCCTGAACACAGATCTGTGGTATATCCGGTAATATTTCTGAAATGTAAATCATGTGTGGTTGTGGTCATAATTGATGTGATACATTCATCATATTTACTGACATGCCCAAAAATGGCATTAACATATTTCTACATCATAATGAACAATGGTTTATATTCGGGTAAGTGTTATTTAAAGCTATAAAGAATGTTTGGTGGGCAATTGAAAAAAAAACAACTGTTTACCATCAACTATATAACACCATGTGTAACACTATCTTACAGATAACAGAAGATCAGCATAATGTATAAGACCTTTATTGAGAACATGAAATAGACATGAATCGGGAGGAGCTCTATTCCAAGTCTGACTTGCTGTCAGTAAACGCCTGCTTATATAGCGTCTAACAATTAGGGAAGATGGACAGGAGTGATCACCATATATGGTATTGTTTATTTATCAAATTATGATGTCTGTAATTACACTGAATATTTCTTTGGAAGTCATTGTCAGGTCAAGGTATGATGCACTGGCCACTAATATATTCTCTTTGGAGTTCTGTCGAATTATACACGGATCACGTGTAGCTTGTAAAGAACATATTGAATAAACTAGATGTTTAATAAGATCGTGCCTTAACAGAAGTTATAGAGAGTTTAAACGTCAACTTCAGGTATAGATCACTTGGTCACACATGATTTAAACATTGTATATTAGAAAACAGATTAAAATATTCTTAATTGGTACCTCTACATGGCGGTAAAACTTTTTTATGCACCATTTTCATGTTCTGCGTTTCTTGGCTTTCAGAAATGTCACACTCTTGTTCGTTTTCTTTCAAAGTTTGTAACTTTAATTGTCTTTGTTTTGCTAAAACACCTAGCATAGCTGAAATGAATAAGGAGTGCATGCGAATTGTGTCTATTCCTCTCTCGATGACTGTATTTGCAATCTGACTAAAATACAGATCCTATTTCGTTTCGTTTTTTATAATTCAAAATTTCGTTTTACTTGCCTTCACTACACTAGGATCTTGAAGAGTTGTTATATAACCAAAGTTCTGGTTGATGTGAGGGATTAGCCAATGAAATCGTCTGTTGTGGCGAGTTCTTGGCGTGCGATGCAGGTAACTGTGGGTAGACATTGTATTTCCAAATACCCACTTGAAACATCAACGCTCATTGGTTAATCAAATATCTGACATCATAGGGTCAAACACTGCTTTTATGAACCCTGATGCGACCTCCCAGTACATTTGGTCAGATCGCCTTCACTACACTAGGATCTTGAAGAGTTGTTATATAACCAAAGTTCTGGTTGATGTGAGGGATTAGCCAATGAAATCGTCTGTTGTGGCGAGTTCTTGGCGTGCGATGCAGGTAACTGTGGGTAGACATTGTATTTCCAAATACCCACTTGAAACATCAACGCTCATTGGTTAATCAAATATCTGACATCATAGGGTCAAACACTGCTTTTATGAACCCTGATGCGACCTCCCAGTACATTTGGTCAGATCGCCATGCAGCGGAGGCCATCGAAAGTATGTATTTGGCAAAAGTCTTCAAATGGTATTCTGTTTCTACTTAGACACAAAAACTGCATAAGTATTGGTAAAAAAACACAAACAATTGACTATATGTCCAAGGAATCATTTTCGTGTAATCCTACCTGAAGCATGGCTGAATGAACGACCACACCCTAATTCTTCTGTTGTTTGTCCTTCAAATATAGAATCATTACTGACATCTATAACATATTGTATTCTAACTACTTTCACTTCACCCTAAAATAATAGAAGGTGACAACACATTAAATATTAGAGAAAAATACATTAAATACAACTAAGTAATATATTAAATCTAAGATACCACATTAATTACAAAGTAACACATTAATTACAAGATAACAAATCAAATACACAACACGTCAAACATACGATACTAAATCAAATACAAGAAAACACATCAAATACAATATAACACATCAAACACAAGATAATACAGCAAACACAAGATAGTACAACTAATAAGATAATATTACACATTACATACAGAATAACACATTACTATACAAAATACAATTGAAAAGATTGAATAATACTTACTGATTTAATAACATGTATCCAAGGTGTATCTAAAGCATCTTTAGCTATTATTTTATTCTGTCTGTAAATATATATGATATATAAATTATAACTGTGTCCCGCATCAACTGAATTTCAAATACGTAAATGGATCTTTATGACTATTATATCCCTGAACGTGAAAGTTGTTCACGGTATACGGTGGGACTTGCCTGTGTGCTGGTGACAACCACCAGGATCAAACTTGCTGACAGACGCATCCACTAAGTGCATTATTATGAAATATGAAATCGATTTAGGTTTAGCTATACTGGGTGCTATAACGTATTCAACAAAAGTACGTTGCGTGAGGTACGTTCTACAATAGAGACTTTTGGCAAGCGTAAATTCCTGGTCCGTATCGCGTATCCGTATCGACTTTGCGTGTGACGTCATCAATGTGTGTATATTTCTCATACTTGATACGGCACACGGATATGGCAGCACGTATCGAACAATTTTCATACGGAAAAGGTGCGTATAACATCGTCGTCTTTTTTGCTACTTTTAGATCCTGAAATGTTGTGCCATAGCGTATTTTATGAATCTATGTGCTTCCTTGAATATGAAGGTGTACATTTGATGTGATTTTAACCATGATAATGACTGGAATTTAATCATTATTTTTGATGAGTTTTTCTCGGAATTTTCATATTTTTCCCGTCTGTCTGCATGCTGGATGATCTATGCGTTAAATTTAGGGAGGTAAGACCTTGTAAATCTGTAAATGATGTGATTCTATGGTAAAGGGGTATAAACTTTTTTTAAAAATAAGATTCGACATAAAGTTTTTTTTAATAGCTCAACGACTGTCGAGCGACTTTACTCCCTCCAGTAATTTGTAGGCTAGGCACCCGACTAGTACTGATGGTGATCTTGGTAGATGACTGCCATCATGCTGTAATAGAACTAAGCTCAGCTCAGCTACTCATACGTACAGGGTGCGAAAATCTGCCAAAACGTGATGATACGGATACGTGATACGGATGGGAAAAATTCCCCATGCCAAAAGTCTCGAATATATTTTTTAGCGCCTTATACGTGTATTCGGCGAGGAGTAACACTATTTAAACACGTTATGAAACTGTCATTATATACTACTCACCCGTAATATCTATATTCTATAGCATCAGGATGAGATAAAAATTCTTCACATGGAAATTCCGAAAATAAATCAACGGTTTTAAGGAAGTCCACTGGAGGGCCGTGAGTAGTATTTTGTAGTCGCATAAAATCCTGTAATGTAATAATTTTACAGACAAAAATAACTCCAAATCTACATTTATAAGGTTTTGCTTAAGGTCAGCTTACATTCACCTGTCGTATAGTACTTACTGTAACTTGTAAATGAAAATGTCCGTCCAAACATATCATTGGTTATAAACTGTTTTATTAACAAATCAAATTCTACATAATAATCGTAGATAAAATTACCAGTAATATAATATGTTTGTTGACCCGCATGGTGCACGTCTTTCTCCGACAAAGGGAATCTGGTACATTTTGATACAAAAAAAAATGGTGGGGTAATGCAGTGTTTGGGGGAGGGGGTAAATCAAACGAACCAAACTGGAATACACGGATAAAGGACTACGGATGGGTATGCCATAATAAACTTACTTCTCTGTGTAATATTAAAACCTCTACAGGACCTTTAGCTACTAGATGATATTCTCTTGGTCGGTTTTTAATTAGGTCATCTGTCTACAAAAATAACACACATTATTTCAGTCAATTCATATAACATATTTCTTATATTTTATTAGGTAAAACATTGTCGGAAGCGGGTTCGAATCAATGTCCCAAATTATTAAATGGCGTTTGTGTTTTAATCACTACCATTCATTCAAAAATAGATATTCCGTGCTATGTTATGAGTGTTTGAGGTTTTGACAAAAGTAGTGTAGATTGTTGATTATCATAAGTCTCGATTATCTATTTTATCGTTAATGATACATTATGGGAGATTAGATAAAGAGCTGGCAGTTCTCACTATAATAGTTAAAAACTAGATAATGTAAAAGGAATTTGCTGAAAATTTCAGTCAAATAGATCGACTCTGAACCCAGATTTTAGCGATTGAAATTTTCGGTCTAGCCTCGATCATCATTGAATCTTGACCATTCGATGGTCTAGACAGTTGATTATAGGCTTGCCATGTGAATAAATGTCTAAATAATAGTTTATATAAGACCCACAATAAGCAGATTTAGCTCTTACAAAATGCATCTTTAAAGTAAAGAAGCGGCCTTTCAAAATACTTACATTTGACGTCATGCCTTTATTTAAATATCCCATGCATTTATTAACACATCCGGAAGTTAATTGATATTCACGTAACTTTTGAACTGTAAAATATTAAGTTAAATTACATGTAAATACAAATTAAAAGAACTTGTCGTCCATGGGTTGATATATTTACCAATAGTTTACAAAAAATGGATATAAGTACCACGCCGCCCACATAACAGCAAGTGCATGAGAAAAGCACTACTCGCCAACAAAACCGATAAGACAAACCTGCCACAGACATTGCAAGCAAAATCCAACAAATATAAAATCAAGTGAATGGATCCGGGGCAAGCGATAAGCGTTCACTGCAATGAGAAGTGGACACAGAAAGTGCAGGTTCTAATACTTGTTTTCGAATAACGCCCATCAACCGTAAAACTTTAGTGTTTAATCGAGTTCCAATTGCTTTAAGGTTGTTTTTTTTTTAGATGAAACAGTATGAAACGCCAAGTTTTTATTGGTAGTCACTTCTATCAGACACCTACTTCTGCCATTCAGGACGTAATAGAACATGTTTGGTTCCTTGTCTTGATAAGTAATATGGCGTCCATCTTCATATCTATAAAAATAGAAAATTAACTTTATTTACAAATCAGTGACATAAGTGAAATCCTTCTGTGCCAGATAAACATTATAAAACAAGTATTCTCATAGTATTGGTGAACGAACACATGTACCGTTACAATCCATGTATATAAGAGGCTGATACTGTGAATACATTTCTGTAGATATATATATAATCCAAATAGGTATAGATGGAATGCAGTCTGTTAAACTGAATTTTCACTGAATTAGTCAATCTGATTAAAACACAGATACTATTTCGTTTCGTTTTTTATAGTTCAAAATTTCGCTTTACATGTCTTCACTACACTAGGTCTGGAAGAGTGGTTATACAAGCCGCGTTCTGACTATGTGAGGGATTAGCCAATGAAGCGGTCTGTTACGGCGAGTTCTTGGCGTACTGGACCTGTGGGTAAACCACTAGAAACGTCAACGCTGATTGATTAATCAATGTCTGACGTCATAGGGTCAAAAGCAGCTCGTATGACCTCTGACGCCCCTCCCCCCATTACAACCGGTCAGATCTTCATGTAATGTAGGCCATCGAAAGTATAAAAAACGAAACGAAATATAGATCTGTATTTTAATCACCTTGTGAATTAGACTGTAACTTTACCGTGTAAAACTGTGCACTAAATTTCAATCATTGAACGTTTAAGCTGAATCTGTAACTCGGATATATACAATAGTGATTCAACCTTTAATCAAATTACACGAAAATTAACCTGAAATAATTTCGGAAAACATAATTTTTCACTGATATTAAGTGAATATTATTATTCAGTAAAGACTATTAGCGGAATACCACGACCAAGGTGATGTCCACATAGTCCTACATGTAAAGGAAACCTTACCAGTTGGAAATCACCGTTATACAGGCAAACCTCTCCACCTGGCATACGTGACCGTGAAAAGAAAAATACCATTATGTTTGTCGCAAAATCATCGACGTATCGTATTGACGAGACATTACGCCACAGTCCATCCAAACCGTCTTCTCGGAGGTAAATTACTTTAGATAAACATACGTAATAATGAACAAACCTTTCATAAGCTACAATCTGAGCTAACTCTTTCTCAATTTCAGCTGGAAATAAATGTCTAAAGACTTTAGTTGCTCTTAACACCCAGGTTATCTGTAAATACAGTTTTATCATACAGTTTCTCTGGAATTCTTGTATCAGAAAAATAAAGTTATATGTTTCTATTTTAACCTTGTCGACATCAGCATAGCAAAAATTAATACTATAAGTGTCAAATGTTGGTCTTAAAAGAAGATAGACAAGTCTCAATATCGATGGGAAATAAAAAAATGTTTTATGTTTGTTTCAAAATGCCATTTATTGTTTAATTACAATAACGTGATATGTATATTTACCCTCTTAATATCTCTACTGGTACGATATTCTGGTGATGACGATATTGACAGTTGTACTTCAAAACCTAACTGAAATGTTAAATACAAACGATTAATTAGGGTCGTATGTATGCCTAAAATGTTTAAATTTCATACAGCTTACTATATATTTTTATTATCCTTACTATAGAACTTTCGTTGTTTATTCAATACCAAACAGGTTAGTTAATCAAAATGATACCTCACTCAAGTCGGATCTAGTGGAACGATTTCTAAATACACACCAAAGACAATAAAAATGTTAGTTCGTTTGTGATGGTCATACCAATTGATTCGAAGTTGAAGAAATGAGCTTCGGTGCTGTACTAGGTTGAAGATGTTTCCATCAATGTGTACACTTTTAACACCATACCTCGACTTTTCATCTCATTAAAACGACCAGAGACACTTTCCCTCCTGTCAACCCCGCACGTAATATCGCTAACAAGTGAAAACCAGGCTTTTAAAATCCCAAGGGTTCTTATCGGCACATACTGCAAGATTCGAACCCACATTCAAGATTGGCAAAGAATGTGAAGCTTTCTCACAACACATGTGGCTACCGTAAACTTTAGGGACTGCCCACACCCATCTTTAATAGAAGGTTTGACCTCGTTTTAACTTGATCAAGGCCTTCGCGTGTAACCTTATCTTTATCATCTTAGCGTGACTCTTACCACATTTCGATGTCTAAGTGTTTCAACAACTTCTTAATCGATATCCCCCCAAAAAACAATACTTCTTAATCTGAGTGCGAATTACATTATTATACAGTGCATTATAATGTATTATGATAGCTGAAATATATACAGGATAAGATTCGTAGATGTCTAGAACAATTTATGATTGTTATTATTACATGTGTAGGTCTGTAATCGCGATAACGCTTAACTTAAGCTATCTCCTTAGTTCTATCAGCTTGATAATGGCATATTCGTGTTTCTCGGCCCCACAACCCCTGAAACGACATAATACACTTGTATGTTGCTATTGGTATTGAAAGAATAATTTTCGAGCTAATTTCTGTCGCCAGTTTGGATTTCGGCTGCCACATTTTTGATCAATCGTTTGTGAGATGAACCGGAAACAGTCCAAAATGAGTCGGGTCTTTTCGCCATCAATGTTTGCCGATGTCAATTTCAGACCCGTGTTTGGATTATCGGTCGGCTTTCGTGGAGTTGGCTCACGGCAAACTACAAATATCTTCACTTGGGCCCCTTCTATCTGATACCATGGTCAAACCTTATTCCCCGAGAAATGGTCACGGATTTCGGGGTTGTGTCCCGACTACGCGTAGATTATTTATTATGTGTAGCAACGGTACTTGACACTATCTATCTTATCGTCTAATCTACTTGATAATACAGCAATAGGCAGATTTAGCTCTTAAATAATAATGCACATTAAAGACTGTTTACAACGTTTGATATTTACTTACACTAGATCTTTGATGCGATTTTTTACCATTGTCTTTATTTTTGTTAACTGGTGTTATATCATCTTGCTGATAATATCTATAATACATTAATAAAAATGTTACTGAAATCAAACAATAATGTATTAAACATTGGAAGATAGTTTTCAGACGTTTACGATTAAAACCTTGCCCATGAACAATATTTGATTCTTGCGCCACTTAAAGGCGGCAACCAGAACCACGATCACGTTGTTTCAGCAATAGAGTCGAGTGGCACTGTTTAAGGACCACACCAAGCAGATGTTTCCGCAACCATGTGATAGCTGTGATGTTTTTCTTCTGGAAAGATGTGTAGTTGTCTTTGTAGCTGTCACGATTGGCGGACATATATGCCATGAGATTGCTGTATACGCTTGACAGCCCTATTTTATATCAGAAATAAACTTTCTTTAAAATAATGTCAATAATAAATCAATTGCGCATCAGTTGGACACAGGCCCCGAGTTCACAAAACATTCTCAGACTTAAGTTAAGAATTTACTCAAAATTTCTCGCCTTATTTTAACTAAAATATAGCCCTTTATAAAACTTTTGTTGTTTTTAATGTATCAAATACATCAATAAGAAACTATGCATGTGCATTTTTTATGCTTCTGGGTCAAACATATTTCTCATAAACAGTGACTGAAAGTTGAGTAAATTCTTAACTTAAGTCTGAGAATGATTTGTGAACTTGGGGCCAGATGTATTTGGACTCTAATTTAAGAAGTATTTTCGGTACTACTGATGTTATACATACCTGGACTTTGGTATACATGTTCTATTTATTAACATAATCAACTTGATTGCATGACGAAATATATCTATAACCTGTAAAAGTATACAATAACATGAGCACTGGTTTATTATAACAACTTAATACCCCATGTTTTCAACGCAATACAGATCATTTAATCAGAAGGGGATTTGGTCATTGGCCTAGACAGATCTGCAAAACAACAAAACAAAACAAAACAAATCGGACGTCTTTTATCAATCCCAGAGTGATTAAGGGCAGCCTCAAACCTTTAAAGAGTAAGATAAAATAAATTTCAAAGGACTTTAACAAACCAGATTTTGATTTAAATGTTACGAAATTTCAAATTTGCCCTTGTGCGTATACAAGGGGTATTTCGGGACCCCACGAACATATCCTTAACGTTTGTGAGAAACTAGTTCATAATTGTTTAGCGAGAATTTTATACATTGTCAACTACTTAATTTTGAGTACAATGCTGCAAATAGAACGGAAGTGAGGCAGTGGCAACATTCATCATTTGACAAGAAACTACGAGTATTACATTATCGTACACGAAGGGTCTTATGGACCCCCTCCACTTTCTTTTCAACATTTTGCTGGTTACAAGTGTCTAATCTGTTGGAATCTCTTACTGATGATATTGTGTTGGTCATTCTAGCAATCTAGATCTGAAAGCAAATCTAGGCACTCTACCAACCCCAAAATGACAATTAAGTTATTTGTAGATTTCTATGGTTTCAAAAATACCTTATAATTCAAATATTGTTTACTCTGATTGACTATTATTCAGTCTATATATGGCGCTGTAGTTTGGTCGTATTTGAATAAAATTATGCATCCAAAACCCAATTTATGTCCCGGGTCTTAGATTACCCCTTGTTGTCGACAATGTTTTTCGTGCAACTTGTCCGCACAAGGGTTAATATTTTAAATTGAATATTCATAATGACAATCTACAAAATCGCGCTGTTTCGAATTATTTCTGTTGATTCTATTTTAAAAATGCCGTTGCTGCCACTGTATCATTATACATTTTCTACAATGAAACTAAAATAGATGAACAGACTTTTATTTTGATACTCTAGTTCGTCGGAAGACAAAATCATAAACCATTAAATATTGACCAAAACAAATAAGTGTAAGGTCCTAAATACTTATATAGGGGAAAACTAAACCTCATAAAGAATTTCATTACATTATTAATTATTGCAATGCCGAATTGCAAAAACCAGATATATATCAGACATTTTCCCCACAACCCCCACCACCACCAACATTACATTACAAAAACCAAACCCATTATTGAATAAAATTCAATTTGACACGTTGTGCATATCATCACCTTTGTTTCTTATATTTACATTATCAAATATATTACACGGTTTTATGGACTGGGTGGCCCAGTGTAGTTCCCCATGACGGCAGTGCCCAAAAGAACCTTATGATCTGGAAGAATTATAGCTAATAGGGGTAGCCCAATGGGTATCGAGTCAGGCAATCTTTTGTGACACTTTTCTACCTCTTGGATAATAGTCTCCATCATTCATATATTCTAAGAATATTAGTCTGGATGGGTTGTCAACATTTGAGAATAACTAGGTCATTGACTAGGTTATCTGGTCTTTTAGATTATCAAGAACAAAATCTAAGGGAGGTAACTAGTTCGAGAACAAGATGTCGACGCCCATGAAATTAATTCAAAAATTGTCATTTTAGAAAATCCATTTGCATTGCCTGTTCAATATCCAACATTCTTTTAATATTAATGTTCATGGACCATATCTATGTTTTCTTTTTTTAATCCTAATTGGTCGTTATGATTCATGATTGTTTACGGGATTTATTTCGGTAAGGGGCGCAACTCTTTCCTGACTTAGCGAAATTTACTGGATAATCAACCATATAAAAATCCAAACTCTTTAGATAATGTTGACAACTGACTCCGACTCTCCGTACGTTGAAGACTAGGGGGTTCTGGGTGACCGATACTAGTTGGATATGGGTCCCGAACGACGTTAGGAAGGGATATGGGAATGGACTTTCGTCAGTACGTCAGTATTTTGTTTCCGGAGATTATCTAATAAACCGTTTCTGCAAGACAACCTTATGAAACATTGTACACATAACAACCTATCGTAACAACTACAATTCGTAACGCTGTGATTTCACTTTGAACATTGTCTACGATATCTACAAGGAGGCGGGCGTTAAGGAATACTGAAATCTACTTGCGACTTTGTTATTGTCTACAGGTATATACTGTTGTTGTTGTTTATTAACGATTTAACGTCCAATACATTAAATATGATATTATGGACAGGTTGATTTAATTAACTGGTATATACTGTTAATAAGATATATTAATATGATGTGTAATTATGACTAGGTTATTTACCTTGTCCATAAAGTTATGATATGAATAACCATATGACGATTAACACAGTAATGATGTTATAGTATAATCTTTGGTTTAAATCCAGAAGCTAAACAAAAATTGCTCAACAAATTGAATAGTGAAAAATGGTATAAGATGTTCTATAAAAGCTAAGCATACACTACCTTACAACTTACAATGATATCTAGTAAAGTAAAATGAAGATATACTTTATGATTTTGTCATTTAGCAGGGAATAAATTCGTTTTTATTTTTTGTAATTCTTTTGAAAGTATATTTTGTTACCTTCCAATTTGTTCGTCTTGTTTTCTTTCTTGAATCAACGTCTTCGGCAGAAACCGACTGAAATAAAGAAAATGGTGATAATGTATTGATTTAGTTTGATCTAATAATTATATTGTTTTGATTATTGATTAGACAAGGTCCATGCTTTTAAAGTCTTATTTCAAAGGATTAAAAGAAAGTTGGTTGGTTTATCAATTTTAATTTCATTTTTACCTTACTGAAAACACAATCGGTTAAATGTATCTCAACATGGACTTTTTCTATGAATGTAAAACCCCATAAAACAACACATAAAATTCAATAGAGGGAGTTCCATTTTCCAAAGAGAAGGTGCCGTTTAAATAGCCCCCGGGTCAAATATACCGCTGCTATACAAAAGACTCTAAATAAGGGTATCCAAAGAACCAGTAGGACCTACTGTATATTTATAAATATGTTTTGTCAAGATCTATGGGTCAAACACGGTGTCAAAAGACGGTTGAACCACCACAATACTGCTAATCCTAACCCGCTGGCTAGTGAGTATGCGCCACTGTCATTATTTCAGACGTTAAAGGGACAATAACACTCTTGCTGGCTTGAAAGCTCCAGAAAATAAATAATTTCTCTAAGTACTAGATGTTTAAGTGTCCTACCTGTTGTGTAAATTATCCATTACATCCTATTTTACTTGTCCAGAGGGTTCGAAAATATTTTTAAATCGAAGTTTCATTTGAAAAGGTTTACGTTAGACGTTTCAAACCATTATGTTGAATTTGTCAAAATTTTTGATTAAGGTGTGTTAAGATGAAATTTGTATCATCAATTAATTGAAATATTCTAAAATAGTACAATTTGTTGACCAGAATAAAGATTGGGACATATTATTCAGTTACAAAAAGAGTGGTATTGAGCCTTTAAGTTAACACGAGACAATGACGTAATAGATTGTGACAATGGTGATGACGATAATCAGCATGACGGTACCAACTATGAATAAAGTTTGGATATTATCGATGAGTTGATAATGAGATTGGTGATTGTGAACTGCGGCGAGTGAGTGATTGCCGGACGTGATTCATCATCGATAGACCTATTAATCCAAATACTAGACTACAACGATTGGAATTGATATGTGCTATCGGATGTCCTACAAAAATAAGCAAACCAGGCTTCATATCATTCACATGTCGTTATTAATATTTGATTAAATCGCCTGTCCAACCCCGTGGGTTTTCTCCGGGTCCCCCAGTTTCCTCCCACTACTAAGAACTCTAACGCACAAGCGAATTAGTGAAATAAAATTAAAATTGAACCATATGTTAGTCCCGAAATGACCCAGTTTGTGTCGAGTGGACATTACCCCCTCTCTCTCTCTCTCTCTCTCAGTTAATTTCGAGACAAACGAGAAATAGTCCGCACATTCCCTTTGTTTTTATTCATTCTATACTTAAAGATACATTATGGGAGATTTGATAACCAGTTGGCAGTTCTCACTATAACAGTTAAAAACTAGATAATGTAAAGGCAATTTGCTGAAAATGTCATTCAAATTGATCCACTATGAACCAAGAACTAAGCGATTGAAATTTCCGCCTAGCCTAGATCATCATTACTAAAGTCAGTACGTTAAACAGCATAGTCTCGATTATCCATTTAATCGTTAAATCGTGAAGGAAAGTTATGCAGTAAATCGGCTCATAATCCACTAAAGATCGCAAGCTAGTGGTCTGGATAGGTTAATTAATGTCTAATTAAACATGCATTATGCAAGAGCAAAATCTGCTTATTACAAGTCTTTCTTTAGGCCTGAAATGTTATCTAAATTATCAATTAGACATTAATTAACTTATCCAGACCATAATAAACTCTCGATGTCAAGGCTAGCCTTCGATGTTGGCTGGATTAGATTCCTATATGCCGCTAACGGCCATTGATAATTAAATTAAAAAAAAGTGTATAATCGAGACTATGCTGTTTATATTAATGATTTTAGTAATGATGACCGAGACTATGCAAAAATTTCTCACGCTTCTTTCTCGGCTCATAGTGGATCAATTTGACTGAAATTTTCAGCAAATTACCTTTACACTATCTAGTTTTTAACTATTATAGCGGCGAGAACTGCCATCTCTTTATCTTATCTCCCATAATGTATCTTTAATAATTTAAATAACATTTCAGGCCTAAAGAAAGAGAGAGAGAGAGAAATGGGGTTTAACGTCCACTCGACACAAACTAGGTCATTTCGGGACTAGCACATGGTTTAATTTTATTTCAATAATTCGCTTGCGCGTAGGGGTCTTTAGCAGTGGGAGGAAACCGGGTGACCCGGAAAAAACCCACGAGGCTGGACAGGCGACCCTACTCTTTGTCACGTACAACCGGGGATTCGAAACCACGCCAGTTGACTCAATGACAGGTCTTATGATACAGCACGCACGTGCTAACCATTCGGCCATCCACCCCCTCCCCCCTAAAGAAAGACCTGCAATAGACAGATTTAGCTCTTGCATATTGTATATTTAATAAAAACGTGGTAATATTGTAATATTCGTCTGGAATATTGTGCCTTTTAAATGTGTGTAGATCTCAGCGTGCAGAGATCAATTGTTTAATTACAGATAAAATGCATAATAATCTTACTGTGATTGACTGTAATCAGGATTAAGTTGTTAATCCATGATTGATTTTCTATTGACAGATCTAACTAATCCCTGGTACAATTTATTTCCTCAAGGTAATTAAAGATAAATCAAGGCAAAGGTAAATAATGATTTATTCGGGTCGATTCACGAATCAATTCACTGGCGGTTTATAATATGTGTCTGTGTAAGCAATATTTTCTGACATCAACCCAAGAAAACACTTGAGAGAGAGTTAAACATCCACTCGACACTAAGTAGGTCATTTCGGGACTAACATATAGTTCAGTTTTACTTCATTAACTTGCTTGCGCGAAGGGGTCTTTAGCGGTGGGATGAAACCGGCGAACCCGGAGAAAACCCATCTAGATTGACAGACGACTCTACTCCTTGTCACTTTTAGTCGGGGAATAGAAACCACACCACTTGACTCAATGCCAGACCTTATGATCTAAAGCGCACGCATCACAGAAAGAGAGAGAGAGAGAGTTTAACGTCCACTCGACACAAACTAGGTAATTTCGGGACAAACAATTCTATTTCATTATTTCGCTTGCGCGTAGGTTCTTTAGCAGGGATCCGGAGAAAACCTACGAGGTTGGACAGGCTATCCTACTCTTTATTACGTATAAGCGGGATATCGAAATCACCCCACTTGACTCAATGGCAGACCTTCTGATCTAACTCAAATTTTGGGGATGACTGGAAAACATTTAATCATTCTTTAGCTTGAAAAGGTGCCAGTGTTTCCCAACAATTCCTGGAATTTTGACATAACAATGCCAATTTCCCAAGTTCACTTTATCATTGCATCCACATTGAAAACGGAACACATCTATTAACTTTGAACTGCATTATCAAATTAAAAAATTGAAAATCATCTGTAACGCCGAACCAGTTTAATTTTAACGTTGGGAGAATATTCTTCGCAACTTCGCCAAAATAAATAAGGAGCTCTTTCCCATAAGTATGTGCAACAGTTTATTACTCTATCCAGTTACTAAATGCATCTAAAAGATTAACATTTTAATTTTACTTACCATAATTTTATTGCGTTGTTCTGTAGTTAAAGCAGTTAAAAAATCTGGTATTTTAGCTCTGGGTTTCACCATTGACTGTATCTCCTCTAGTCTCTGTTGTATTGAATCTAAAGGGTCGTCTTCTGGAAGATAAATAGTTAATTTATCCTTAGTTTGAACAAATTTCTTCTTCTGTCTTTGTTCTTCCTCTTTTAATAACCAGTTATGTTCCACCTCTAATTCGGCATGTCTTTCGGCAGTTTGACGTGCCGTTTTGGGCGTTTGGGTTCTCTCTCGTTCGATATCCATAATATCAAATTGCGATTTGAATAATTCCGATTTCCCTCTCGCCGACGATTTCTTGAAATTCGATTTTTCACGGGGTAACGGTAGCATCCCTGGGTTCTGTATATCCGACGCCATGTTGAAAGCCGTTACGTCAGGACCTTGGACTCTGAGTTCTAATCGTGGTAACATGGCGCTTGCTGCTGTGAGAACAACGGCTGTATCATAGACAAATACGTTATGTTATCTATCAATGGAATTATTGATATTCCGTAATAAAGGAGAGTTTTTACTGGGAACTAAAGTCTCCTTTAGGCGTTAGATCGATAGTTTACGACAGGAAACGTTGATCGATTCTAGCCAAAGGATCCATGAACGTTAGACACTAGAAATCTATAAATGTAGTCGAAGCTCAATTAGCGTAAAGTACCCCGCCATGAATCAACACTTAATTAACATTTAACTCTTATCTTAGCCTTTTCGCTTAGTTTTTAAACAGTCTACAAACACAGACTGAGTGGAACTTATCTTTGTAAGTCAATAAATGAACGTTTAAGATCAGTTCTATACAATGACCACTTGAATAAACTCAATCATAAAGTCTTCACGGTCATAATGAACAATATTATGGAACAGGATAATTTCGTTGTCTCATATGAAAATAAATATCGAAATTGATGTCTCAGAATGCCCTCTTTATAGTTGCTAACGTAAATAATAAACCATTTCTTCTCCAAATAACATTGTATTCTTGGCTAGACAATTTTTCAATTAAATTTTCGCAAGAAATTACATTTCTATCCCTCTGAAACCGACACACGTCTATGAACGATAACACTTCCCCAAATCTAATTTCTGTCAGTTCCACTCCGAACACACAAACCAGTCGCTCTACTTCGTTCGTTGTATATTAAACTCTGTTAACAACTTTCTCAACCATTTTCACACACGCTTACTCTTCTCTAAGGCAACAAACATTAGTCTTGATAATGGAAATAGTTGTCGGTTAATGCTAACGCGAATGTGATGTGTTAGGGTTCAGCCTACACGAATACTAATCCGCTACAACAGATTAAAACTAAAACCAAATCCGTGTTACGCGAAGTCCTTAATCTAACTATATGTAGTCTGTAAGATTAACACCCTTGATCATATATGAGATTTAATACACGTTGTCACCGATTTACCCGATCATACTATTATTAGGCCAATAAAAATACACCTTGTTCATATCATGTTTCAGCTGATTAAATCACAAACTAGCTAGTCGGCCTTTTGATATGAAGCTGTGTGGGGCTGAATTATGAAGTGTTTCCACAAGAAAAGCACGGTCAGTTGCTTGACATAGTATAATTGTTGAATTAATAGACAATGATTTAGTCTAAATGCTACAATAACCACACATAATGAACTGTACATGACTACAGCATGGCCAGTCCCAAAAAATGGAAAGCGTTAACTACGTGAACCCAGATTAGGACAATATCAATGATGAACCAAGGGGCATAATACGATTTTTTTAGAAAGGGGTAGGTATATCCTGTCCTGTAACCGGCACTTGCAAATTTGCACCGTCAAAATTATTAAATGCCATAGAAATAAGTTAGGAATCTTAACCTGTGACCAAACCACTGAATGCAATTGCAGCTGCGATATTTTCTTTTTATCAATTCTAAATTTGACTTTGCCAGGAGCATATGAAATCGTTAGGTGATTGAATTGAGTAATTGTATAAAGCTGTGTTCATAATATATTTATTTTTTATACGCCCTTTTATTTCTATAAAAAATGGTCTATGTTATACTTATTAAGACATTCTATCACGTGTATTTGTGTATTTAATACATGTAGTTAAACAACCAATTATTATTCTCTTTGCTTGTGGTATAACATATAAGTATTTACATGTTACAACTATACTGTACATGTATTCAATAAAACCTTTCACGGCATTCGATTTATTTTACACTGGTTGTTCACATTTCTTATTGCATGAGATCACGCTCAGGTGCATTTCCCCGGGCCCGGTGTGGCTTAGTTCCTTAGTCGTGTTTCTATTTGGATTTGGTTTCTCCTATTCATGTTGAATCTATTTCACAACAGCCGAGAATCGATGAATCTCGTTACTTGAATATTTTCATTTACCTCACTCTCTGTCAGAGTATTGTTCAACAATCCAATTGGTTTTTGTCTTTTTATAAGGGTTTAAACAGTGACAGATTAAACAGATTAAGGGGGGTAACTGATTGGGGGTAACGGAAAGCCCCCATAAAATGTCATACCTGTGATAGACGAGATCCAGATGGGGAGGGGGTGGGTGGGGTATGGTGAGGAGCTGTCAACAGGGGTTGACAATTTTGTTAACGCGAATTGCACGTATTCAAATGTGACCTGGAATGTAGAGACTATAGCAACTTCCGACTTGCGATGCCAATTCCCTATGTATTGTTTGAGACTTCAACTGAGCTGTTTTTGTATCACAGAGGCCCACGGAACTGGATTCAACCAAGCTTTTGGTCTCTCATGGATCTACATCTTAACTGCTGTTCAATCAATCATAAACTAGCTGTCTGTCGTGCAATAAAATGTTACATAAAATGATCAGAGGCGAGTGGAATTTATGTTCACCTGATGGGGAAAACCGTTGACTTGATATTGCTGCAATACTATAACTTCAGCTTATGGTTATAAACATGCATATTTCTAGATTTGGCGTTATATTTTTACAACAAACAAGTAATTAACGCAGTGGTTCTCAACCTTTTTTTGCCAACGGCACACCTTGGAACACATGCAAAAATAGCGGCACACCTGGCTAAATACATGTGAAAAATATTTCAATTTTGCAAAATAAAAACATGGCAAGTCATAAATGGCATACAACCGTAGACACAGAAGTTACATAAACACATAGAATGACACAAACTAAATAAAGAAAAACATGGTTATGAACCTACATTTTTGCAGTGTTTCGAATTTCATCAGTCAAATGGCTGGCTTCTTTAGTGAGAAATGTTCTTAGTGTGCCGTTCAAAATTTAGCGGCACACTGGTTGAGAACCACTATTATTTGCCTCCATTGTAAATTCCACATGTTGATGTACACATATTCAGTACAAACGTACTCTGTACTCTACCGTGTTCTTTATAAGTTTCTGTGACACAGTCCCAGCGGCGCCATTGAATATGCTGTTCAGATAAGATTTTACATCACGGTATATTCTCATAAAATTAATACTATTACAAGGAATATTTTACTTTTATGACTACATTGTTTTTTGTTTTCTATATTAAATATGTATAGTATTACATTTATATTGAAATATTATACAATACCTCTGCTATATAGTCGAACCAATTTAATCTGTTTCATTCGCTTGTAGGACGCCGACATGGTTGGGGTTGGACCACAATGCCCTTCCGCTGAAAACCCCCCAATAAAACCTTGAATTAATTCGAATTCAGTGCAGATAACCAAACCCGTGGTTCAACATCAGTAGTCAGACCACAATTTAAGCAATTCTCTCTCTGTCTTTTTTATCCCCTTTTGTATGCCCATTTTTGTTGATTTTTTGGTCTAGAATGGACGAAGAGGTTTGAATAAACATTTTCTGCCAGGTTTTGGTAAATATTCATGATTTTAAGGCGGAAGGATAACAGAGTTATTAGGTTGGTTACGGTGATATGTACGGCAACTAGTTACATGTTTTTAGTATGCTTCTTCAAGTTTGTGTATCTCAAAATTGTGGTTGTCAACCTCATACAAATTTTAGTGCAAAGACATGATCATTTGTTCCTCTGTCTGTAGTGAAAAGCATTCAGTCCAACGAAAATTTGCGGAAAGTTGGAGGTAGGTAAAGAGGCAAGAATTAACATTGAAGTCAATGGGGAAATTAATGGTGGTCTACCTCCATCAGTCATTGATGAGTTATCTCCCCTGTACAAAAATTGGTATTATTTAAATTACAATATGTGAGGAAATTAAGAAGTTATCGAATATTATGCCTCACTGTAATGTATACATGTCTTCATAGAACCGAAACTATAATATGTAATTAGTATGTATTTAACAAAACAATTTTAAAGTCTGAAATTTGGGCGTGTCTGTTAAACGTCGTGTCCTCTTGTTTTGCAACACATTTGACAAATTACCATACTGTTGTATAAAAATATTCACAATTAGGTAAAAATGTACGGTTTCTTTTAGCGCTCAGAAGAATTACTTTTCGGGTGTTTCTGATGAATTATACATTTCACACCGGTCGATTTGAAATAATCATCTTTATTTAAACCAGCGGCTGCTAGGCAGGATACGCCCACATTTTCGAGAGATGGATAGAGAAGAAGCTAAAAAGAAAGTGATTTTTCCTACAATCAAGGGCCATAATTCAGGAAATTACAATTCGATATGCGCAAATATCGTAAGGAACCGAGATCTTTGGGTTATAAACTTACATTTCAAGTTTCAACAAAATCAGATAAAAATTGTGACCTCTATAGTGTCCACAACCTTGATATACAATATTTTTACGCTATTTGAGTACGAGGGGCGGCCATTTTGTCTGTCAGTTTTGGGCCGATTTTCACGAAATTCGAACTCAGTCGTCCTTAGGGTGTAACAGTGATATAATAACACGTTTTTTTTTTAAATCGGATAAAAATTATGCCCTCTATAAAGTCCACAAGCTAAAAACGCGATTTTTCGTAAAATCAGGGGCCATAATTCAGGACGTTACGTCCCGATATGCGCGAATATCGAAAGGAACCAAGTACTTTGGGTTATAAACTGACATTTCAAGTTTTATCAAAATAGGATTAAAATTGTGACCTCTATAGGGTCCACAACTTTGATATACCATATTTTAACGCTATTTGAGAACGAAGGGCGGCTATTTTGTCTGTCAGTTTTGAGCCGATTTTCACGAAATTCGAACTTAGCCGTCCTTGGGATGTAACGGTGATATAATAATACGTTTTTTTTTAAATCGGATAAAAAAATATGACCTCTATAGGGTCCACAAGCTAAAAACGCGATTTTTCGTACAATCAGGGGCCAAAATTCAGGAAGTACATGTCTGATATGCGCGAATATCGAAAGGATCCAAGATCTTTGGGTTATAAACTTACATTTCAAGTTTCAACAAAATCGGATAAAAATTGTGACCTCTATAGGGCCCACAACCTTGATATACCAAATTTTTACGCTATTTGAGAACGAACGGCGGCCAGTTTGTCTGTCAGTTTTGGGCCGATTTTCACGGAATTCGAACTCAGCCGTCCTTAGGGTTTATCGGTGATATTATAATACGGTTTTTTAAATCAGATAAAAATTATGACCTCTATAGGGCCCACAAGCTAAAAACATGATTTTTCGTACAATCAGGGGCTATAATTCAGGAAGTTACGGTCCGATATGCGTGAA